ATAGGTGCCCAAAATTGACTTAATTAGGAATAAATAAATAAATAAATAATAGAACAAATGTTCTAATTCCGCTCACAAATTTCTTGCAGATTTTGTATTTGAGTTAAAAACCCCTAGAGAAAGGATTTGAATTTGGTGGCAAGACATTAAAACTTAAATTGGATGCTGTTATATGTGACACCCCTGCAAGGTGCTTTGTCAAAAATGTGAAGGATCACAATGCCTATCATGGCTGTGACAAATGTGCCTGGACTATACATAAATAGACGAATGACTTTTGACACTACGGACTATGCTTTAAGGACAGACATTTCGTTTGAGAACATGGTTTATCACCATGAAGGGCCACATCCATTTCATGGCTGCCAAATTGGAATGGTTTCTGGATTTCCCCTAGATTATATGCATTTGGTTTGTTTGGGAGTTATGAGGAGATTGCTGAACATCTGGATGCGAGGGCCTTTAAATTTTCGCATCCCTGCCCATATTGTTGAAAAAATGTCCCAGAAATTAGTTGAAATGCGTCCCTTTGTCCTTGTTGAATTTGCCAGAAAACCTCGCTCTCTTCGGGATCTAGACAGATGGAAGGCAACAGAATTTAGACAATTCCTCCTGTACACAGGCCCCGTGATGCTTTCCCCATTTTTGGACAAAGCAATGTAGGAAAATGTCATGCTTCTTTTTTGTAGCATTGCTATATTAGTGAATCCCCAAGTTAATGTGGCAAGACCGGCTTTGAGGGTCTAGTTTAACTTCTTGGGTTCTTTTTAAAGACAATGCAGTAAAGTGTGTTTACCTTGTTGACATGTTTCGGCTGCATCTTCAGAACTGTCACCGGTGTGACGTGTCGTATATCAGCTGTTGTTACTTCCTGTAGGCGTGGTCAGCCTGATGGACCTGGCAGGTCGCTCAGACTGACCACGCCTCCCGTCGCCCGGTGTCTCTGGAGGAGGGTGTCCCAGGTGTGTGAAAGGAGGAACGCTCCATCATCACGGTTAATGCTGTCCGTGCCTCGTTTCCTGATTTCAATGGCCTCCTTGATCCAGCGTTTGAACTTGTTGTTTTCCAATGACCCGAGTCCCGTCCCAATCCAGAATGTGGTTGTTCCTTTTACAGTGTCTGATATGGCGGATTTTAGGTTTTCCTGTTCTGCTTTGTCTTTTTGTGTTCTGGTGAGTCTCCCTGACGTTTCCTTCTCGCATTCCTTTTGGTGTTCCTTTTTTCGGATGTGAAATGCCCGGCCTGTTTCCCCTATGTGTGATTTATTGCATGATTTGCATTGAATTTCGTAGATGGCATTGCATTTTTGTTCTTGTGGGATTTTGTCCTTGGGGTGTACGAGCTGTTGACGGAGTTTTGTGTCTGGTTTTACTACAGTGCTAATGTTGTGTTTTTTCATGGCTCTGGATGGTTCGGTTATTCCTCTGATGTATGGTAGTGTGACTATGTTTTTGTCCTGCTGCCCTGTGTTGGATTGTTGTTTTTTTCTGGGGTTTGTTGGTTTTATTGATAACTTGTTGTCTGCCTTTGTTTATGGCTCAGCTGGGATATTGACATTGTTTGAGTGTTTGTATGATGTGTCTCTCCTCTTCCTCCCTGTCGGTCTGTGATGAGTGTGGCCCGTTCGAATAATGTTCTTACTACTGAAAGTTTGTGTGCAGTGGGGTGTTCGGATGTCCAGAGTAAATATTGGTCAGTGTGTGTGGGTTTCCGGTATATTGTGATTTTAATGCTGCCATCTGCGATGTGTTGGATTTTAATGTCCAGAAAAGGTATTGCTCCGTCTTTTTCCTCCTCGTGAGTGAATTGAATGTTTCCTGTGTCGTCTTGTGTGTTCAGATGGTCTGTGAGTTCTTGAGTGTGTCCTTGCTGTATTTTTTCTAGGATGTCATCTACATAGCGTTTCCAAAATGTTAAACGGCATTGTGGTGGTGCGGTGTTGAAAGCTTTCTGTTCCAGGTCCTCCATGAAAAAACTGCTCATTATTGCGGATAGTGGATCTCCCATTGCAAACCCCTCTTTTCTGTCGGTAAATGGTGCTATTGTATTGGAAGTATGTTGATTTGGCCACGAAACGTAATAATTGTGAAATGTCATCGACTGTGAGATTTGTGCGTTTTTTGAGAGTTCTGTCCTTTTTAAGTTTTTCCTGTACTATACATAGTGTGACATCCACGGGTGTTTTAGTGAACAGTGATATGACGTCGTGTGAGATGAGTATTTCGTCCGGTGCTACTGTGATGTTTTTTAGATCCTGTGCCAATTGTTTTGCGTTCTTGCAGTGGAATTTTGTTTGACCAATGAGTGGTTTTATTATTTCGACCAGGGCTTTGGATAAATTGTATGTGACTGAACCTATGCTATCAACTATCGGGCGGAGCGGCATGTCTTTTTTGTGGATTTTCGGGGTTCCGTAAATGCGCGGGGTGATGCTGGCTGTAGGGATTAGGTCGTTGTATGCTTCTCGGGTGATTTTTTTCTGTTCTAATAGCGATTTGAGTAATGTTTTCAGGGCTCGTTTCTTTTCTTCTGTCGGGTTCTTTGTGATAATTTTGTAGGTGTCGGTGTCTGCGAGTAGTGTTTGCATTTTTTGTTCGTATGTTTTTGTGTCCAATATAACTGTTGTCCTGCCTTTATCTGCGGGTAGAATAGTGATTGTATTGTCTTTTCTCATGTGATTAATGGCTTTCCTCTCCTCCTTGGTTATATTGCTTCTCGGTAACTTGGCTGTTTTTAGGATCCCTGTCACTGTATTGCGTAGCTCTGCTTTTTGTCCCTGGTTTGGTATTTTTTGGCATGCTAACTCCGTGGCTAAAATGTATTCTTCTATGGGGATTTTGTTTGGGGTGGTGGCAAAGTTAAGTCCTCGTGCAAGTGCGTTTGTTTCTGTTTCTGTGATTTTACGCTGTGTTAAGTTACATACCGATTTATCTTTATTTTTTGTTAGTGAGGTTTCGATTTTACGGTGTTTTGTGTCCTTTGTTATTTTAAATTCCAATTCGTATGTTTGTTCTAAGTGTTCGCTAACCTGTCGCTGTGCCTCTTCTTCCATGGGGAAAAGCCGTCCGTATTTCTCCTTTTCGTCCCTTAGTTCCTGTTCGATGTTTCTCTGCTTGTTGACAATGATCCTAATTCTTTCCTTTAACAGTTCTTTCTTGGCCTTGTTAATGATTTGTTTTGCATTATGGGTTGGGGTCGGGGTCTTGATGTTAATGCTTGCTGGTGTGATGTTCTCGTCTCTGCATCGGAGGTTGAAGTGTAGGTGGTTATTATAGCATGCGCGCGCTTTTTCCAGCCTCTCCAAATGGCGAAGTGCTTTGACACCTCTTTGTCCAAATCTTCTTCTTATTAAGCAAAAGATGTTCATTATGTCTTCTTATATACTTTAACTTCTTGGGTTATTTTTTAAAGACAATGCAGTAAAGCGTATTTACCTTGTTGACATGTTTCGGCTGCTAGCTGCAAGCCATCTTCAGAACTGTCACCGGTGTTGGTGGTGACGTGTCGTATATCAGCTGTTGTTACTTCCTGTAGGCGTGGTCAGCCTGATGGACCTGGCAGGTCGCTCAGACTGACCACGCCTCCCTTTGAGGGTCTAGGCTGCAGGTGCTCTTTCCTGGCGTTCCGTGGCGCTGCGCTGGTGGGCTATTTAAGCGCTCCCTTCTCAGTCATTCCCCCTTTTGGCTCACACGCTCTTCCGGGCCTTTCCTTGTGGCCGCCCTGTCCTCCAGCTCAGGTAACTTCCGCTTCGTAAATTCCATGTCCGTTACATCCAAATTTCCAATCACGTTTCCTTTCAGTGCCACTGCTTGGTCGTTGTTTGGCCGCTGTTTGGCTGGTGCTTCTCACCACATCTGTCCCTCGCTCCTCTGAATCACAGAGCACCTAGGGCGCGCTTTCATCTCCCCTGATAAGGTAATGCACGCCCTATACTCTTCCACTCATTCATCCATGCCCATACTTTTACCGGTGTCTCTCTGCAGCTCCACGGGTGAGCCGAGTGAGTCCCTCCCCATTGCGCTTGGCGGTGCGCCGCCGTGTCCCTTAAACCGCAGCGGCAGGTAACCAAAACCCTACTATCACGTGCTTACCTGTGCCAAACCACTCTCTAAATTGTATATTTGTAGTGTGTGTCGGTCCACATTGTTTGGACCACGTCTGGACGCAGTTATTCTGTGTAGAGTTGCCTTCGATTCAGCCTGGGGACTGCGCACTGTCACTTTCAACCACGGTATGTTTAGCCCAGATCCTTGCACTGCAGGCTCCGATTTTAATCCCAAAACTTAATTTTCTAGGTGTCAGCGGGGGCCTGCAGCGGCGTGAGCACACCACCTCTGCTGTTTTGCTTTGTTTTGTTTTACCTCTGCTGTTTTGTTTTACCTTTGCTTTGTTTTGTTGTACCTCTGCTTCACATTTGCTTTGTTTTGTTTTATCTTTGTTTTTCTGTTTTGTTTTGCTTTAGTTTTGCTTCGGGTTTTGGTTTGCATTTTCAATATTGTGTACTCGTTCTCCCACTGTAAACCCGAATTAGTAATCATTACTTAAACTCCCAGGGTAACCCGTTGCAACGAGATGTTGAGTTTTTGCAGAAACAAAAACTAAACAAATCAAGTTTTCACAACACACAATTTTGAGTGCAAGAAAACAAATACTAACAAACTAAGATTGTAACTACTAGTATTTACAAGTAATTAACTTACAAAAACTAATGTTTATTAGTAACTAATAATTATCTTTTTAAGCAATTATAACTTTCTAAACACATTCTGGTTGCCTTGTTTTATTACAATTTTAATACTAGTTAATTATGGTGTTTATTACTGATCTTTTTAAGAAAACCAAGCACAATAAGTTTCTTTTGTTTATTGCAAAAATAATGCATTCAACTCTGAATACAGTTAACATTGTACAATACAACAGTCTTAAACATTGCTGTAACTTTACCTTTTAATTAAAAGTGCCATTTTAAAACACTGTTCTAAAAGTTTTTTTCTCATGTAAAAATCAAGGCAATGGCAGCAAATCAAATAAATTTACAAACTAAAAGTCAACTTTTAGTTTGCGTTTTAGCCACCAACATACAACAAAAATAAAATACATATGTTGGATTTTACAAACAGTTTGAACCTTTACCTTGTGTATTGCACAACACAGTATATAGCAGCATAAGTTTTTTTTTTTTTTTTTTAAACCATTTACCAGCAAAACTACAAATTAGGTAAAAAAAAAGTTCTGATCAAAATATAATTGTAATAACTAAAGGAAAAAAGTTTTCAAACAAATTAAGATCTTTTTAGTTCAATCTTTTATAAAGTGATACTTTTATATGAAGTAAATGGTTGCTTAATCACAAAACTTATGGAACTAAAACCATTCTTAGTTGAAACTGATTTGGAACAATAAGCTAGTCACAAATGGCTTACACTTGTAGTTGGTTTTTCAGGGTTTGAATTCTTGACCTCAACTCAGTGTTTCCCAAAGAGAAGAAAACCTGCTGAATGAACAAAAGTGTATTTCGGAACCTTTTAGGATAGTCGAGATGCAGTCCGTACGTGAGACCAAAAAGGAGGCAGATAGTCTCTGGGAGGTTGGACAAATTGTCCATTACAACTTGACCCTCAATGACAATTTTTAGACTTGAAGGTCGAAGAGATGGGGATCCACTTTCTTTAAAGAGCATCAGGATTCCAATGTCAGTTTGATCGAAGGACTCTGTAACAAACAGGCTGGTTTGTTACCCCAGAACCACACTTAGCACCTTCACCTTTCACTAGAGCACTTTAAAACACTACACTTTCCTAGCACACAGCACTTTTAACATATTTGCACATCACAAAATAAATTGCACACAATTGGTTTTAAAAAATATTTATTGGCTTTCCTTTAACCATTTTTTATTCCTGAGGCACAGCACTTTAATTGGAAGTTGCTTGTCCCTGGAGGAAAAGGGAGACAATAATAAATTACATTTTAAATTGACTTTGTGCAATAAATATGGTGCAATATCTGTTTTAGAATGTTTTAAGTGTTGATGTGTTTAGTGTATTTTATTGTGTTTTAATGAATGGTGGATCTGCTTTTACTTACCTCCCCTTTTTATCTTCTGTCCAGGTGTGAAAAGAGTCCCCCGGAAACGAGCTCCCTCTTTATGGTTCCGGGCTGGACCACGTGTAACATTTTGTACAGGGGTTTTAGGTTTGGTATTTTATTGGTTATGGGTTTTAACATTTAATTGGTGTAATGGTTTTAGGGTTTTTATGTATATAGTTGGTGGTTTTAATAGTTATCTGGGTTTTGGGTTGTTTTATGGAGGTTTAGGTTTTAATTTTACGCTAATGATAATTTTAACCATCCCTGTTTTAGCATAGTGGTTTTATCCAATCAGTAGGACCGGCATAAAAGGCGCCTTCAAGATCAGTCTGGGTTCTGCTGCTGGAGAGGAAACTGCTGCCTGCCTCCGGTTTGCACCCTGCACTTTTTGCACTTGCACTTTTGTAATCATTGAAAAAACAAAAGTAAACTGTGGACCACAAGTACCGGTCTGTGTCTGGATTTGTTTTTTACCTTGCTCACTGAACCCCAAGCCGCTCACGGTCAACCTACATTACAGACTCATCGCTGTCCTACAATAAAGAATAAAGTAACTAAATGGTATTGTTTGGTTCCAGAGCAATGCGTCGTCTCAACATTCACTCTTTGAAATTTAAAATGTAGCTAAGAAAATCATTTGTGGAATATAAAACCTATCCTATAGAGCAGTGATTCTCAACCCCTATGAGTAGGGCTGAGCAATTTGGTGATAATTGAAACATGATCTCAAATCTGTGACAATCTGCTTTTTTGATGAAATGGTCATATCGTGATTTCACCTTTTTCTCAGTTTAATGCAGCTCTCTGTTCAATTAGAGACCATTTTACCATCCCGTTTGCCCACCCTTACCTATGAGGTAAGGGCGAAAAGAGTTCTGATGGTCCCCAGAAGGTATGAATGAAAATTTTAAAATGATACGTCTTAAAGAAGGTTTTATATGGAGTGGCAAATGTAGATTCCCATTTGAAGGCTTACAAAATTAATTAATCTAGGCCTGTATTCTTAAAATAAAAAAAACATAAAACATAAAGCTACTTCAACACTTCGTTGTAAACCTGCATTTTATGTTTGGGGGTCGTGAATGCCTAAAGTTGTTATTTTAGAGGTTAAGACTGAAAAAGTTTGAGAACCACTGCTAGAGAGGAACAGAGGAGTGTTACAAATTCAAAAGTACATTTAACAAAATATACAATTAATACTGCACATGGGTGAATAGGAGTATAAAGAAGCGACAGAGCGAGACAGGAGCGAGAGACAGAGAAAGAGCAACAGAGAAAGAGTGACAGAGAAAGTTAGCTAGGCAGAGATATAGTTGACAAGATAGTAAGAGTTAGAAAGATAGCAAGAGAGACAAGACATAGCTAGGTAGTTAAAATGATTTTGCGTTAAAGAGCCAAATAGAGAAAGAGACTGATAGTTAAAGAGATGGAGAGAAAAAGTTGGCTAGAGAAAGATAGATGGTTAAAGAGATAGAGAAAAGAGCCAGAGAGTTAGGGTAAGAGAGTTAAATTTATATACGAGTTAGAAAACCAACTAGAGAAAAGGAGATGAATAGAGTAAAAGAGACAGAAAAAGAGTTAGCGAGATAGTTAGAGATGGTTAGAGATATAGAGAGATGGGGAGTTTGAGATACAGCTAGACAAAGACACAGAGAGATAGCAAGAGAGTCAGAGATAAATGCATAGAAAGAGTTGGAGATGGCTAGAGCGAGAGATAATCAGAAACAGGGAAAATATATGGCGCTAGAGAAAGAGCTAGCCAGAGAGAGAGAGAGAGAGATTGAGTTAAAGAGAGTTGGAGATGGCAAGAAATAGAATGAGAACTTACAAAGCTTGCTTTGAGAAACTCCTCAGGATGGTCTCCTAGAACATGAGGAAGTCCTTGGAGCGCCACAGTGCGTTTTTCTGTTGGATCTTGTGACTGACAGATAAAAAAAAAGGTTAGTATTGATTGCAATCTTTATTTCGCTTATCGCTTCACCCTAAAGTCATTACCTGCATTTGTTCCAAAAGTGAGGACAATTTGGCACCCACAGTTCCTTTTTTGCATTTAAACATTTCCAGAAGACGGGGAGTATGCAAATCAAGAGAAGAATAAAACCCCTGCTTCAAGTCCTTTCCAACTATTCTTCTGAACTCTAGGCAAATCTAAAAACACACATACAATGAGCAAACCATACTGAAAAATAATAGTGAACCAAGAAAATGTTACGATTTACCTGTTCTTGTGAAAACAGAGCTGGCCAGCGTTTCATGAGAACGCCAACTGGTGGTGCTGTTTCGAATAAATAAATAAATTAGGCAAATTGTATTATTTATTGTGGATTTAACAGAAGAAAATGTACTGATGTAGGAATTTTGAGCTTTTCAGAACACACACAGATGGATGATATAAAATATTAGCCATTTTAAATATAAATAGATAGATTTGGCTTCCAACAATAAATATAAATGTATGTAGATCTTACATATTTTGGGCTTTTATTAAAGATTTTTATGAATTTACACCTTGTCCCCAATCCAACTCACAGGTCTTAAAGTGCTGTTTTAAACGTCACCAAACAGAGAGAGATCATAAATACATTAACATCCGAAGCTGACACTAAACATTTAGCCAACTAATATTACATTTCGTAAGTGGACAAAAATACAGTACTTTAATGTTGAATTTACAAATCCCAACAAATAAAAATAATCAATGTTATTTGCAAAAAAGTAATTCCCCGAGCCCTACTCTCATGAGCCACTTTAGAACAAGAAAACGCATACAAGCTCAAGTGTTTAGGTTTACGTCTGTCGATAAGACGCCCTGCCCAAGATGGCGGCCGCATTTCTCGCGCTCAGACAGCCTGTTCGGAGTCTACTCTTTATATGTAATAGAGCAAATCTACACACACTCGCTCCCTCTCTCCCAGAGAGCGCAATCAGTGTAATGCTAGTAGTACAACTGCACCGAACTCGACTTTAACCCGCCTCGCAGTCAGTGTACGGGAGGCGCAGCTCTTCCGGACAGAACTTTCTCGTGCGGCCGCTCTGCTCCGGTGGCTGCGCGCACTTGTCACATTTCTCCCCCGTTTACCTCACACATGCCCCGACACCGTAGCGAACACTTAAGCGCTGGAGAGAGAGACGAGCCGTGTCTACAGCTGTGTGCTATATCTGACCATGTAAATTAAGTTTTTGCCTGCACGGCTGCACCAAAGACGTGTTGTTTAATGGCGGGCGTAGATCACATAAAGCTACAAGCGAACACAGCTAGCACAGCTAAAGTACAATTAAGTACCGGATAATTTAGTTCAAGATAACTCCAAAACGTTTTGCATCAAAATACAAGTTTACAGCATGAAGTTGAGCGCTTGCAATTTGTATTTCCACGCCATGCTGCCACGCTCAATGCTAACGATGATATTCGGGGCTGTAGTCGTTTCGCAGCAAAATGCATTTTATAACTTCAGCTGTGACTCTTTGGGCGAATTTAGACATCAAAAGACACATAAGACGTAATGTTAGCAGTGAAACATCTGTGTACTTACCAAGTCAGACACTCATTCAAAAGGACCGTGATTCTGCCGTCTTCTCGGCTGTTCAGCTCACAAGCCCCTCCCACCGCGTATAAAACCTAAACACCTGAGCTATCACCACTTAGAATGAATAGTGCAGGCAGATACCTGATTATATGAGCATTTACTACTTGTTTACTTTAGTAATGGTCCCGCCTTTGTAAAAATATGAAATTATAAGCAATGATAGCTTGATTTGTTATGCTGAAAAAATAGTGGGGTTACAGTGTAGCTACTTTTAAACCACTTAAATCTGTCTTTTAAAATAGAAATAAATAAAGATTTGTGTAAATGATGGAACCTGGCTCTCTCCCTTAATGATATGCTTACCTGTGTGCCTTACATTTAGATTTCATTTCCCCAACTAGACTTGGGGTGGCGTTGTTGCAGCAACTCATCATAAAACTTAACATTTCCCGGAGTGTTGAACCCCTCGGTTGCCACATTAACATGCCATGCAAATTACGCCCATACACTTTTGAACTGTTTTGTTAACTTCTTTGGCCGCATATATGGTAATGACCTAATTGTGTACAACATCCATGCTTTGGTCCATTTGCCATGTGACGTTCAAAAACATGGTACCCTCGATTCATTTTCTTTATTCCCATATGAGAGCTACTTATACAGACAAAAAAAAAAAAAAAACGGAGCTCTCGGCCTTCACTCAGAAGATGGGATTTGATTCGCTCCTGCTCATGTCAATCTCTTTCACTGCGACCCAGCGACCAATCAGAGAGCTCGGAGTGTTCAGTCTCAGCCAGCCAATCAGAGAGCAGGTGAGTCTTTACCTGGAACAGGCAGAAAACTCCGCCCTGGACCTTCGGCCAATCAGCTGTGTCCATCCACACGTCACCGCCTTCCACCAAGGGAACAGCGTGGCGTCCAGGAAGAAGCTGCTGCCGCTGCTGAAGGACTTCCTGTGGCGCGGCGGTCAGGAACTCGTGGTCCCACCCACTCCGGTCAACAGTCTGGTGGAAGGATGCCCCCTGGACCGAGGACTGAGCCCCACAGAGCTCCAGACCAGACTGAACCAGGACTGGACCAGAACTTAATTACTATTTATAAACAGCGTGGCCGCCAGTAGTGGGTGGTACCACGGGGTGTCGCTGCTGGGCCACAGCCAGGTAGAATTTAAGGGGAAGTTGGCTGTGTGCCCGGGAGGTGTCAGTTTCCGTGGGTGGCCGGGTGGACCACTGGACCCACGTGTGCGTGCGTTTGGCTGACGATACTGGTGGGTTTTTAAATGGTTTGTGTGTGTGTGAATGAAACTGTATTTTAAAAAATGAATTGTTGTGTGTTAGGGCGGCCACGCTGTTTTTAAAAGAAACCTGGGACGGTGCTATGGGGAGCTGTGTGGGGAGTACAACGCAGGTAGCAATATTTTAAATTGTTTTTAAATCATTAAAGTTTATCGAGTTTGTCAGTTTTTTGTAATTTTGGGTTTTTTGTTTTTTACAGTTAGCTACTGTCCCTGCTGTCCTATGGTTGTTTGTGTTTTGTCCCGGTCACTTCCCTTTTCTCGAGTTTGTTAAATAAATCACCTAAACTGCAACCCCAGCTCCGGACTTTTATTACCACGGCTACAACAGTCATATTGAAAAAGGAGCATTTTGTTGGCCCTCTTGCTAACTTATCCACTGTTGAGACAGTTCAGTGAAATATCATGTGAGAAGTGGACAGTGAGAGTGTGAGATCTGTAATATTGTGCAGTGTGTTTGTGGTATACAAAGAATATACAGAAAAATCATAGTGTTTTTCCTATCTGTTTGAATCTGACTTTTAAATATTTCAAGTATCTAGCCTATCTAAATCTTTTAAGTCTGCTAGATTTCAGGATATCACCCATAAAATTGTGCTTTTTACCATACAGGGGTCATTCTGTGGCTATGCCTCTGTTTCACACATTTTGATTTTATTTTCTTGTCCTGGGTATTGACATTAAACTGCATCCGGCAGAGTTGGGAGACTGTGTGTGGGGTTAGCTTCCCCCAGCTAAATCACTAGAACCTACTTTGTGACTGGCGAGTGGTCAGCGCCATAAAACCATCTGGGTTTGTTTTTGTTTTGTTGACTTTTTGTTTATACTTGTGCTGGGGACTTAGTTAGAACTTACTCTTACTTTAACTTTTTTATATTCCAATCTGTAAATAGTGTAAGTAAGTAATTAGTCACTTTAAATACACATATATGATTCAGTTGTAACTGTGTTTTTGCTTTTTCTTTCAGTGTTTCACAATGTATCATCTAATTGAATTTGCAATTAATAAGACGGTGGCAGTTGCCCCAGCAAACTGGGTCAGCGATGGGGAGCGCTTGTGGCCACCATATTTAAAAGATGGGCGGGTCACGAGGGCAGCAAAAATGCAGGAAGTGCCTGGAGAGGACTGGAGCGACGTTGATGTGCGCATAATAAAAACGTGGTAAGGCCTTGAATTACTATGGTACATGGCAAGTGGCCTCTTGTTGATTTTCAGCAAGTGTCCTGGGGAACACTAGGGCGCCTTGAGGTATTCCAAGTAGAGCATCAATTAATTGGTAATATTTTAGTAGATGATGTGCCATGGATTCTTTTGCCTGGGAAAGCAAAGCCTCATCTCACTCACACACATACACACACACACACACACACACACACACACAAAAAGACAAAGACAAACACACACGTACACAAACACACACAAACACTTCAGGGACCAGTGTCCTGCTGGTTCTCAGTCAGGACTAAACATGACTTTATTGACTGTGAATTTCAATATTAAATGTTAAATGAGTTTGAGTTAACAGTGAGCCACAATATAGTTTAAAGTGTTTCATCCTTACAATATAACTTGCGTAATAGTTTTGCATGTTTTTTTTTTTGTTTTTTTTAGCACACTACCTTGAAGCCAGGCAAACCCTCAACAAGGCTTTGACCTGCACCACCTCAGACCTCCAGTCAGAAAACGAAATGATGCCTCCAAAAAGAAAGAGAAAGCCAATATAAGTCAGTCATCAGGCCTAATGCTGCAACATTTAATTGTAGATGAAAACCTGTTGTTGCTGTTACATATGACTTTCTTTTGAACATTTTAAGGTTGTGGCATAAGAGTGCATGGAGCATGGAGTGATTAAGCAATAAAGCAAAGTAGCCCTGTGTATAGTTCTGCAATATTTCAGAACCGGAGCGGGTTCATACGATTATTTTAAGACCAAAATGACAAGGCTCAGAGCAGCAGTTTAACTAATGTATATTCATTGCTGGGATTTATACACAATAAAAAGCCAGTGTGAACCAGATGTGGGGGTGGGACAAGAAAGTTAATAGTTCAAAAAACTATCGGCTATGAAGACCATCAAGTCAACATCAAGTTGGGAAAGGAACTGTTTTTCACTGCAGGTGAGTCAAAGAAAGGTCCTCTTGCCAGTTTCATTTTCAAGATTTTTGACTTTAAAGAGAATGAAATGCCACATGACGTCAACATTGGACAGTCGTATGAATCGTGAAACTGGGTGCCAGGGATGCCTACTCCTGTTTTTTTTTTTTTTTTTTTTTCGGAATTGTGCGGATGGGGAAGCGGAATATGTCCCAGCACTTCAGTCTAAATATGGGAAAGAGGAATGGGAGGCAATAGGTAGAACTCTGTGGAAGGGATACAAAGATCATGGATTCTTTCTAATCAAGTTGTCATTGTCATTTTACAGTGTGCCTCATTCATGGAAAACAAAGTGACAACAGAGATGCTGATTGAATCTTTTTTGAGGCAAATGTACTGTTTTAAGCTGAAAAATGAAATTATACTGCTACATGAGTCAATAAATGTTGTAATACTTGCTGTATTCTTCATTATGCACTTTAATTAATGTTTTATACATTCATTTTACACAAGGTTTGTTACTCCTTTAGAAAAAGACATTGCCAACACCGTGCTGGAAGGAAGGCAGTATGATGGACGACCTGCTTGATGTGCTTTCCAGAATGGGAGGACACACTGCACCTGATGGAGACACTGCTGAGGACATCAAACTGCACACAAAACAGCTAATCCAAGAGCCAGTGTATGTACTACAAATGATGGCTGCTAGTGCCCAGCTTACTTTAAAAAGTCTGCTTCCAACTGTGTCTGCAGTTTCAGCCCTGTATGAAACCAAGGTTTCAACTGCAAAAGGCATTATTACGTTACTTAAATCTGACGAGAAGCGACCTTCTCACAGCTGAACAATGCAGTTCTTGAAACTATTCATTCGATCACTTTATAAAGATAAACTGCTAACATTTCTGTGATTTACCACTGGGTCTGATATTATCTGTGTCTCACACACTGATGTTGAGTTTCCTGATCTCAGGGGTTTACACAGATGCCCAGTGGCACGTACATGTGGCCCACTGTTACAGATACCCTGCACATTACAGCACTTACTCTGAAATTCAAAGAGAGTTTGTCAGTGTCTTAGATACCAACTACTTAAAAATGAATCTGATCTAAAGTTGGAAACAGCGTGTAGGGTATAAAAATGTTAATGTTTAGTCAAACAAACAAATCTTTGATGTATTGAAAAGGTGAACTTGGTCATGCAAGACTGTTGTACAGTGTTTTATTTATTTATTTATTTTTGGCAGTACTTACTCCATGCACATTTGGTGGCATGTGTAATTTTCCCTTATGTGGAGATGATGTTTCTCTTACCTACACAAGTTCGGACACATCTGGTAAATACTAGTTGTGTTCTCAAAAGGTATTCTTTCAACAAAACATAACTGACCTGATGCAGTAGTATTTATCTTGTATAATGTGATTTTCTTTTCAGAACCTCTTTTTTTACTTTTTGTAACTACATTTACAAACACAAGGCAATCCTTGACTGCAAAGGAAGGTGTTTCATAGTGTTTTTTGTTGGTAAATACATTTTCAAGCAAAGTATGCTTACAGTTCAGTTTATTCAAAAGTATCTGAACATTTCTCTTAAATAATATTATGTTTTTGGTTGAAGTGATACAAGACTGTCACTAACTTTCTGAAGTCTTAAATGGGATATAAATAGTAAAAAACTGTAAACCGTTTAAAAAATAATAATAAACTAAAGTAAAAATGTGATGTTATTTCCTGTGAATCTGCACAACAGTTGTAGTATCTCTTCTCTAAGCCTTAGATAAAGGGCTCCTCCTTTCTGCATTCTCTGGGACATTGAGATCAAGTTCCTCCATTAGCAGGAAACAGAGTTCAAAAACTGTCATCACATGGAAGCATCGTCGGCATTACACACTCCTCTTGGCAGTTCTGAACGTCAGCGGGATCAGACTGACAGATGTGATCTGTTGACTTGAACAGGTGAGGAGACATATACATTATGGCAGGACGTCCATGTGGGGCAGTGATATTGTGTTGTGTTCTGATGCGGTGTGCATTCCACACCTGCACAAAGTCGTCCAGCTCATCCTATAAAGACATGATCAAATATTCTACTTATGAATACATATTAAACGGCAGTTTTAGAGACCCAGTGGACATAGGGGAAAAGAGAAAAGGCTAAATACGCATACTTTTTTTTTTTTTATTGAGAAAAACATTTGTGTAATTGTGTGATCTCTTTCACATACATCTGGATCTTGCTCGTTCCTTTCTTGTTCATTCTCCCTCCTTCTGGTCTTCAGAGAGCACAGTTTCTGTGTCTGGAACGTTGCTTGAACCTGTTTCTGCTTTGGACTCTGCTTCATCTGTTTCTATATCTGCCTCATCTCCCAAGCTGGTCGATGACCTAGAGCTGCTTCCCTGCTGTACACAATAGAATAATAGCTTTAATAATGGCTTATTTTTTAAGGTTTAATAATAGCCTATTAAGGTAATCAGAGATTTCTGCAAGTCTTGTAACGTAGAAATAACTAATGGTTGGTATAAAATAACTATTATAGCTTAATGTCTGATTTAGTACCACCAAAGCACTTTGACTATTTCAAAATAAAATGCGGACTAAATAAATAAAATGTGAATGTAAATAAAATAAAATTTAAAAAATATATATATTTTTTTTATTAATAAATGTATACATTTATTTATTATTTATTACATTATTTATTAATTATTTATAAATAAATACATAAATAAAATGAAATGTTAATAAAATGTGAATAAAATATGTTTAAGATATTTCAATACAATTAGAGGAACAGTTCAACATTAAAATGAAAGTTTTAAAAGCCCTTAAACAGTGAACATGATTCTGGTCTTGACTCTGAGCTTTCATCTTCATTACTTTCGTCCAGGAGAAGAGCACAGAGCTGCTTCCCTGGGCTGCTGCTGTAGCTCCTTTTCTCTTTCCTTTTTTTAGCCTCTCATTTCTAGACATTATGCTGCAAATAGTAAATAATAACAGACCAAAAGTATGAATAAGACTGAAGTCTGCAGGTGACATTACAACAAGACAGAAGCGGATTTAGCAAATAAATGAGTGTGTATCCATGCACATCAGTATCCTGGTTATTAGCCATATCCCGGTGATGACAAACTCAACTTTACAACATATAAACCATAACCACATCAGCCCCTTTGCGCATATTTGTTTATGTTTTACAGAAACTAAACTTAAAACCACCTGGCTACTTAACATAAACTGTAACGCTGAAAAAAACAGCTTGCTCCTTGTGCCTTGATGTGGTTCTGCTTCTGTCGGACTAAAGGACACGAGTCAGTGGAATCTGAGTGTTCTTTCTGTGACAGGGATGTTGATGATGCTGAGTCTGTTCTATGTGTATATCACGTTGGAGATGGTTCATGTTTTCAGAGATCAGACGTGTGCAGGTCGTATGTAACACCTGTGTCGGTGGATATAGTATAAACACAACGGGACACAGTAATGAAATGGTAATTGAGCAGTAATATAGTAATATGGGCTAGTGACCAGAAGACTAGAATTTGGCTCTAGAAGGGACTGACAGGAGACTGAGGCTGGTTTTGGTTTGCTACCATATGTTATAGTAAATAGTAAATGACATACAAACATAAAACATATGGGTCCGGTCAAGCGGTAACGGAGGGAAACAGGCAGATTTTTGACATTCAAATGTCTCTTATTCAGAAACTAGAGGGACTATTGAAATAAGTAAAGTATCAGAATGTAGGAAAGAGTTACACTCCAACAGGGTCAAGTTAAACCTGTGATATTCTTTCAAGTTGTTGACAAAAAATGTAAAAACTCATGTCGGCAACGGAGGGAATGAAATATGCAGCACTTTTTGGGCAATAAATCCAAACAGTGATAACTCTTGGTTCTCACTTCCATATCCTTAACAAACTGGTTTGAATATTTGCTTCATATAGTTTTCTACCATATGGTACAAGATTAGGTTGAAAAACCTCTTACTTTTTGACTCATGAGATTTTTTATTAAGAAAGTTCATGGTAACGGAGGCAAAAGTAATGGAGGGAAAATTGTACAAACAAGTAGAAGGTGCAGGATTTTACATAATTAATCAGCTTTTTTCTTCTGAATACTTTAATATTACTTCAAAATGAAAGGAAACTATTTCTATAAAATATATCAGTCCTTCCAAGCAAATTTTTTATCATTTTTATAATTTTTTTTTTTTTTTTTTTTAAATCATTTACCTTCATCAACAGTTCAAAGATGGAATAACACAAGATATGATGAAAATACATCCATTTATTGACATGATTTGCAGGTCTTTGAAATTTGGGAAATAATGTTTGTTCCATGTTTCATACATGGTCTGTTTAAAACATATGGAACTTTAGAACCAAAAATGGTCCAGAAAAAAGGTCAACAGTTTCATAAACTAGAGTACATATGTATCTGTTCAATACATTTTTATATCAGATGCATTAACTTGAATTTTTGGCCTTGTTGTTTACTTCTGCTTGACTGGGCCCATAGTCAGTTCAGAGTGAATGGCCATTCAATAATATACAACAAGTTCAGTCATGACAAAGCAATGAGTAACTGAGTACAAAATATATCCATCAGTAATAGGCAAGTTTCATTGTTGACAAAAGCGCGCGTTGCATGCTGGGAATTATTTTGGTCGGCAGCAAGAAACACTAATTCAACATGATGGACGGAGCGAGAAAACACGTAAAGGGTATTGATCCTGGTTATTTATCCAGTCTAACGGCAGAGGACCCAAGACCATTTGACCAGAAATTGGTCATAAGCATCGACGGAGCCAAATCACCCTTTTCAACCCCGACAGAGCCTGGACCAAACCAAATTTCTGG